GAAGAAAGGAAGTGTAGTTGTCATGGCTCTCTCACTCTGGCTCCCTCCTAATTGAGGTTCATTCCTTTCACCTGCTCTCTCCTGCACACCAACTCTCCATCTCCTTGTCAACTCAGCAGTACATATACCCCGGCTCTCCATCCATTCATCGCCAGATCGTTGTATCGACTGCTGCGGTAGACTACGGCTCAGGCTAAATTGAGACTTTGAAAAATCTTAGAATTAATATTTTGTGCTTGTTGAGTTTCATCCTGTTTCTTCCTTTGCTTCAGGATCACCATTCACCCACCTGCCTTCCTGCTCAGCCATCTGCCTCAACCTGCTCTCTGGACTCAAGGCTGCTCAGCCACGCTCACACCCCAACTCTGGTCTGGTCAGCCTTCATCCCCTTCACTCTGTTAACATCCAGAATAACCTTCAACCCATCTTCATCTCCATTTGCCACAATAAACCTCAATACCAATCAACCCCTCTGTTTATGTGTCCTGTATCTGGGTCCTAAATTCACTGGTCGTAACAGTAGTAAGTGTGAGGACATGGGCACTGTTTCCACCGCTTATATCAATAATTCTGTATTTCTCTTTACATTTATGTAATAGTGGTACACATGAGCTTTTTGATTATATGACATGGTGTCATTGTCTGTATATGTTAACAGCTGACTAAAGCCCACAGTTCAATCTGATGAGTCACTCATCAAGTCTAAATTTTATTAATTCTTTATGCAACAAAATAATTTATGAAACCTGATCAAATTCACATTTGACAATTCACATCAGGATCTTACTGATTGGTTCCCGTGGCCTCATGACTTGATCTAATGTGGATCATTCTGTCAAATTCCTCATTTTATGTAGCTTGTCATGTTAAAGCAGATGGATTTGTCTGTGGCAGATTGATTTAAACGAGATGAAATTATCTTTGTCTTCATATTTATTTATTTGATCTTAACTGAACATTTGATTAGGGTACGGCTGTCTTTTGTTTACTTTTCACCTTCAAAATAAGACATTGCGTTTACTTATTGGAAAATACTTTTTATTGCTTGATGCCACTACTGCCTCTATGCTGGATATTAAGCTACAACCAGAAAATAGTTAGCTTAGCATAGGACAATGGGGGGTGGGGGATCGCTTGAAATGTCAGGTTCTATAAGATCAAGTCTATGAGAAAGCAACCATACTTTCCCCCCTAATGGAACTTTAATGAGCATGATGTTGCAGCAAGTTTTGAATTGAAACAAATAAAACCACTGGCCCAGACAGTTTGAAAGTCCATCTGCTTAAAGACTGCGCTCCTCAATTAAAAGGTGTTTTTTGGAAGGTTATTTCAGTTCCTTTTAGGTTTGCAGTTAATAATAACTTAATAAGGCATAGAAGTTACTTAATAATTAGATATGTGCCAAAAAAACAAAACAGGTGCGAGTATACCAAATGATTTTCATCCTATTGCATTACCTTCTATACTTTGTAAAACTTTGGAGCAGGGTTGGTCACCTGACCTCCTCTGTGGCACTTCAGACCATAGACTGTAAAAATACAGACCTTCAGACCCACTCCTATTCACATAAAAAAGCAACAGACGCACAGACGATGCTGTAACTGACTTTCTTAAAGGTCACTAAACATCTCATGAACCCTAAAGGGTATATGCCAGGGTTTTATTTGTGGATTTTAGTTTGGCCTTTAATTCAATAGAGACTCATATTCTCTGTAATATTTCACCCTGAATTGCTCTTGCTGCTTCGGTGGCAGTGTATGAATGGGATTAAGTACTTCTGATGGATGATGCTACATAGCAATCATCACTACCATCAGTGTGTGGTAGGGTGTGACATGTGGTGTAAAAGTGCTTTGAGTAGTTGGAAGACTAGAAAAGCGCAATATAAGCTCAAGTCCATTTACCATTTACCATTGATCTAAATATCAACTCAGGGCTACTTCTCTGGATTATAGATTTTCTGTCCTGCCGTCCACAGAGGGTTTGTGTCAGATGTGAACAAAGTGAGCAATGTCTGCCCCCAAGGCTGTGTTCTTGACCCTGGGTGCTTTCTCGATTTACTAGAGAATATAAGATCAATTACAGTCATTTAAACTTGTTTAAGTACGCAACCCTTGTTGTTACAGAATGTAATGACCCTTCAGGCGAAGCTGCATATTTAAACCCCACACAAAGGTAAGGCCTGGAGACATGGGGTGTCGCTCTAGCAGGCTAGAAATGAATGGGGCCAATTTCACAAGAGAAGAGTTTTTACAGAGAATGTTTTCTAGAAATGCTCTCTGCAACTTTAACCTCCTTAGAAGAATCAGTTGCCTTGGACACGGTGTCTGTCAGCAAATCTAAGAACTTATGTAAATGTATTGTTGAGCATGTCTTTACTTTCCATCTCCCTGGAAAGATCACTTGAGCTGTAGATCAAAGAATAAACTCTCAAAGATTGGGTCAACGGAGGGGCAAATAGAGGGCAAACCACAAAAACCTAGGTCTCAACTATTTACTGAAAGGACATGGAGGAAAGCAAAGAGTATCCTAGCAGATAACTCCCACTCACTCTTCTGCCAGTTGGAGCCTCAGAGTTCAGGGAGGTTGAATAGAGTCCTACTGAGAACTAAAAAAGCTATTTAAGAAGTAATTTATCACTAGTGCGATGAACATTGTGAACCTTACAAAATGACTCATCCGAACCATGACATGAACTGTTTCTACTGTTTTTTTGTGGCTCAGTGGTAGAGTCGCAGGTCTCTCTGCCGGAAGGTTGGGGGTTTGATCCCCAGCTCCTGTAGCCACATGTCCAATGCGTCCTTGGGCCAAGTTTCCCACGCTGCTTCGGCAGCGGCGTATGAATGTGTACGAATGGGATTAGGTAATACTAATGGCCACTTTACGTAGCAGCATCTGTCCTCGTGTGTGAATGGGTATGAATGTGTAGCTGTGACCTGCGGTGTAGACGCAAAGATGCTCTGAGTAGTCAGAAGACTAGAACAGAAAAATGTACCATAGACCATATCTGTAGGTCAGGCAGCTTTCTGGTGGACAATAAATACTTTTTTTTTTTTTTTATTCTATACAAACCGTTGAAGTCATGTTTTCATTGCAGAAACATAAGCAAACATTAGATCTATAGGAAGGTCAGAGATCATGACATAAAGTCGACCAAGAAACACTGCATTTAATCTTTTTTATAAATGTTCCTTTCCAACAGAGGGACAAGATGTGGCACTCATTTAAAAACATCTTATCTGTCTTCATAAGTAAACACAGTAAATATTCAATTGCTCTCAGTTTCTGTGCAGAGAAGGATTTTCTATATAAGGACTGTATGTTGTTACTTTACTGATTTGAATTTACCTTTTGTTCATGAAACCAAGTACCTACAGGTAGTGGGGAAAAATTACAATGGTTTGAAAATTAATCATTTTAAAGCTGCTTTTCTTGTATGTTTTTATGTACAGACATGTAAACAGATGGATGAAGGGCAAACATCCCGTCCGAGCACAGATCTCTAATCTATATATCTCCATTGTTCTGTAGTAGATGTGATTTGTGAATAAAAATGCCTGATTCGCCCACGAGACACTCTGGATATCTGAAAATATGTGTTTTATAATAGAGTTTCAAAAACAGTGTCTGCCTTTACGTTCACCTTGAGTGTGAAGTGGTTCAAAATATAGTTATTATGCACTGGGAGCATTATTTCATAAGGGATACAGACTGCCTCTGCTATTGATTCGAACTAGAGGAGCATTTTTATAAAAGCTTTGAACCAGCCCCTTGTGGTGCAGCTCAAGACTTAAGACTGCTGGGAGACTTGATCGACAGAGCCCCCCTCTCCTCCTCTCTATTGCCATCTGTAGCCTACTGCTTCATGTCCCGTTCATCCATCATTCGTCCTCGCCGTGTTGTGTATTTCTTGTTAGTCATGAATGTGATGAATGAATATTTCTTGTTCGATTAGTGTGAATATGATTCATATTTCTATTACTATCATATTTGTATTCATCACATTGATGAGCAATAGAAATTTTACTGCTATTGTTAGTTTCAGGATCAGTTTAACCAGTGTGTGTTAACTGTTTTTGCATAAATAAGTCATGCCTTTACGTTCACCTTGAGTGTGAAGTGGTTCAAAATATAGTTATTATGCACTGGGAGCATTATTTCATAAGGGATACAGACTGCCTCTGCTATTGATTCGAACTAGAGGAGCATTTTTATAAAAGCTTTGAACCAGCCCCTTGTGGTGCAGCTCAAGACTTAAGACTGCTGGGAGACTTGATCGACAGAGCCCCCCTCTCCTCCTCTCTATTGCCATCTGTAGCCTACTGCTTCATGTCCCGTTCATCCATCATTCATCCTTGCCGTGTTGTGTATTTCTTGTTAGTCATGAATGTGATGAATGAATATTTCTTGTTCGATTAGTGTGAATATGATTCATATTTCTATTACTATCATATTTGTATTCATCACATTGATGAGCAATAGAAATTGTTACTGCTATTGTTAGTTTCAGGATCAGTTTAACCAGTGTGTGTTAACTGTTTTTGCATAAATAAGTCATAAATGTAATGCAAATAAGTCATGCGTTATAAGACAAGAGGAAAATGAAAGAGTAAAATTAGTTATAAAAGTAAAAACAAGATTCATAAATGTTGTCACTTAAGGTTATTTACAGTCTCCATCTGCAAAATATTTAGTTTATTCTTGTCGGACGATAAAATAGACTGAATGAGTGAAAAAAAATAATACAGTCACGTGATATACCACAATGTTTCTTTGTCTGCTTTTTATCACTTTAATTTGCCATAATTCAGACATAGTCGGTAGGTGGCGGAAACAGAATGACACAGCAGTCTGGACTACTAAGTGTTAAGCTAGAGAAGAAGACAACGGCAACCGCGAGGGATTGTGGGTAGTGTTGTCTCTTCGCCGAAGCGTCGCTTAAGCTCCTACGGTAAACAACTACATATCCCATGTGTCCTCAGAAGAGTTTGGTTTGTTATGAACCCGCAAAAAAACTGGACGGTTGTCGTGGAGTTACGTTAACGTTGACCGTAGCGGCGAGTGAAACACGCAGGTATGTGTGTTTAAAGAAAATGTTAATTCAATATTGCACTGACGTTAATACATGTGAGGTTAATGTTTATTGTGTTGAGCGTTTTGTAGTTCACAAGACACTGAGCTAAAGTCAAGAGACATGCTTATACTGCTCGCTTTTTCTGAAACTATATATCTATATGTCTCGTTTTATGGAGAGTTGTTTGTGGTGATGTAGAACTGTTGTATTTAATCCTGCTTAGAGTTTCTAATAATGTGTATATTCTTACTGTTATGGAAATAGAACAACATTCATGCATTGTAATTTAAGTGTGTGTCTTGTCCTGACACACTGCACAGTGTAAATACAATTATATAAAAGACAAACATTAGAAATGAGAGCTTGCCTGTCTCGGTTCTTATCTTATTAATAGTTATTTCGAAATGTTATAACTATTTGATCAATTACATGTTTGATATTCAAAAAGTCAGAAAGTAGTAATTTCCATCACTTTTCAAACTCCACAGGGAAGTTTGTTTTGTGTGGAGTGACTTATTGGTGTTAAATTAACCCTGATATAAAACACAGACAGACAGAAGTGAATCATAATTGAAAAGCTGAGATGGAAGTCTACAATTCTGCTTTAAAACATGTTCAGACATTTCAGCAATTATATAATCGTTGCCAATAATTGTTGATTTAAGTAATTCGTTGTTTCAGCTGTAAAACAACAGATGAATTGATTTCTTTAGAAACACATTTTGAGCCTAATTAAATCTGTCAACATCTTTTTAATTTTAAAAGCGACTAAACAATAGCAGCGTCTGCATAAACGCTTACACACTTAAAGGAGCTGCCTCTAATTACAGGGATAAGAACTGGTTGAGATAAGAACAAACATCTCTGCTCAAGTTCAAGGGTGCAGCACAAAAGGTAAGAATGTAGGACAACACATTTCACGAGTTATGAAAGGGGATGTGTTATAAATGTGTGTGCCACATATCTTTTTCATTAACCGGCTTGAACATTTTGTCAGCTGTAATTTTGGCTCATTAACCCTTTCCACAGAGTCAAGTCTGAGAATAGATTTTGAAGTTATGCACCTTTTTCTTTAGCCCACTTCCAGTTACGCTCAACCTTTGTTTAGTTTTTTATCATTCTCTAAAAACCATCCTTCCCACAACCACATTTTAAAATGTTCTCTCCATTAGGTCCGTCTAATGCACTTGTTCCTCTCTCTGTCTGTCTGTCATCCTCTGACTGAAACAAGTGATGGAGTTTCCAGAAGACTTCAACCAGCTGGAGCTCCTGAATACACATGGACACCTGATCCCCCGAGGGGCCAGCAGCCTGTGGACAGGAAGCAAGGATGAGGAGGAGGAGGTGGAGGAAGAGGAGGAGGAGGAGGGGGAACACAGTGAGGAGTGGTATCTAGAAAAAGAAGAAACTCTCAAAGACAAACCAACCGAGCTCATTTTGTGGGCAGCTGAAAACAATCGGGTGAGTGATGTTTTGTTTTGGCAGCACCCTTAAAAACTGCACCTGCTGCCCACCCGTGGAAAAAAAAACGATTTAATTGGAGTTGTAGAGCTGTACAATACAGCTACAGGATCAAACCAAGCAGCTTATTAAATTCCAGCTGTCCCAACTTTTTGTTCTTTTGTGCCCATTGTTCTTTTTCTCTGCCTCCTTGTCTCTCAAAATATGACAAGTAATCTAAAAAGTAACAATGAGAAAGCTCAGACTGTGATTTACATGAAGATTCAGCATCATTTTACTAGGACCTCCAGGTGACCCCAACAAGTTTGTGAAGAGAGAAACTAGAATCCTAATGCTATTTGGACATTTTATAAAATGCTGCACTGCCGTAAGGACACACATTGTTATGGTTATGAAAACATTTTGGATGTGACAAATAGCATTTGGTAAAAACTGGAATTCATACTGGATTTTTGAAGCCCATATCAATATTTTGAATCTTATATGTTCAATGGTTAAACACATAACATATTCAACCCCGGGCACGTCAAACTGGGAGGAGTAGAACCAGAGGTCGCTGGAGGGATTATATATCCCTTCTGGCCTTGGGATCCCCCAGGAGGAGCTGGAAAATGCTGCTGGGGAAAGGGACGTCTGGGGTGACTTGCTTAGCCTGCTGCCCCCAGACCCCGGATAAGTGGGAGATCATGGATGGATGGATGGGATACAAAGTCAATCAAAAACCTGCCTATTGTCCGGCCTTTGGGTCATTTAGCATTTGTCAGAGAAATTAAACCATTGCTTTTAATACTGTGCCAAAATAAATCTCCGACACTCCATACACATATTACAACTAACCCTAACCCTGGCAGTTGGATACTTTCTGTTTACTTTCTTTTTTATATTTTCAGCTTATTATATTTAATCGATGGCCACTGGAGACTAACATTTTCATCTGAGAGAGTAGCTGCTTTGAATGCTAATTAGGAATAACATACGCAGAATTGCTTCATTAATTCTGATCATTTACCATGTCCTGTTTGAATAACAGATTAACAGATCTAGCAAATGTTAAACCAGAGAGCTGGCTGATACATTTCACATCTTCTCAGAGCCCAGAGTGACATGTTCAAATGTGTTTTTCCTTTTGTTTTCTTAACAACACTACAAAACCAAACTGTGCTGTTTTATAAAATATATATATATGCACATGTCCAAATTGGTGAAGCTGTACTGTAAGGGAGAATTGTATCTGTTTTTAGTTTGAGAATGGCTGGAATGATCAATCAACCAAAAAAAACAATCCTAAGCAGTTTTTTGCCGGTTCACTTATACTCAAACGTAGGGGATTATATACAGAATGTTGTTAATGTTTTAACACTTTCCTTATTTTGATCTTGGCTTCAACTATGGAGAAGAGAGGGGGTTAATTAGACTCTGTTTTGTCACAGTTGTCATTTGTTAAACATTTAAGAATAAATAAACATAAAATTGGTTAAACATCACCTATGTAAAGGAGCAATATGCAACTCTGACACGTGGCATTTATTGGAGAGAGCTGTCCCCCCTGTAAAAGAAAAAAATGGGCATTTAATTTGATTAATTACAACAAGAAAACAAAAAAAAGCAGGCATCAAACCCAGGAGAGCACACAGCTGTCCCTTCAAAGAAAGTCAATCTTAAATTGTAAATTAATTCAGAAATCAGGTCGCATGATAAAAAGCTGTGTGACTCTTTACAACATGACCCAATAGACAGTAATAAAAGTCAGACAAGAGTGAACCCATTTAATTTAATGCATCGTCGATTCTCTTCGTGATTTCTGTCGTGAAAACACAATGCACTGTGGGTAGATAAACAGTGATTCAGTCCTAATTTAATTACTATTTATTAAGCATAATAATTCTGTTGCCATGTAACATTTCCTCGACTCTAAAATACTATCTTACAAATGTATTGTAAGCCAAAAATACTTACATTACAGACTTCTCTATCTTTCTCTGCCTTGTTTATGTGAAGTGTTGTGTTATATGATAACTTTGTGTGATGTCTGTGTAGTTTTGTACTGTACACAATCTTTCGTATACAAGTTTTTTATATGTTGAAGGTCTTTTCACGTCCTAACAGAAATCAGTATGTGAAAATCTCTATCATAGGATTATAAAGGTCATGCCTACATCCTTGCTTCCTGTGCACACTCTGCCTTTGAGCTAATGACCTAGAGTAATGCCACAGGCTACTCCCCCTAGAGCTTTTTCCTGGACTTGTCTTAAACCATATGTAAGGTAGTGCATGTCTTGAGTGGCATTGAAAATTCTCCACTTGCATACTTAAAAATCTAGATCATATTAAGTAGCCCACAGGTCATAAAAATACCTGTTCAGTATTTAGCCTTAAGGGAGCTTAGTTCGGTATGAAAACATCATTTCAGCTTGTTCCAATGGACATCAAACGTACGACAGACTGGGCAATTAAAATATGCAAAACACACTGTATAGCAATGTAGTCCCTATGAAATTCCCCTTTTTTTCTTTCAATTTATTTGAGATGCATCAAATGTAGAGAAGTGCAAACTAAATAGCTAGAGTATCCTCAAAGAGTTGGAAGACATTTCTGCAGAGTTTCTTTCCGTATAAATTTAGTAATAAGGGACCCTTGTCACATATGTTGATACATTTCGTGTTTTGAAAAGACTTTTCCAAAAGAGAAGAAAATTCAGTCTTAACCTTTTCAATGCAACGACACAAAAAAACAAATCAAATCAGGAGCTTTAAGGCTGCAGCAGGATTCAAATAATCAGACGAAAGTTAAATTCTGTAGTTTCAGGACCTCGAACAGCTAAACATGCAACCTAATCTTTTCTTGATGCTCCGCCTTTCTGTGGTTTTCCTCCAGCTTTCTACAGTCCAAAGTTTGTTGACTGCTGATCCCGCTCTGGTGCACTGCTGTGACGAGGACGGTTACACGCCTCTGCACCGCGCAGCATACAGCGGCCATGTTCACGTGGTCTCTGCCTTGCTCGCTGCTGGCTCCAATGTTAACCCTCACACCATTGACGGCTGGACCCCCCTGCACAGCGCCTGCCGCTGGAGCCGTGTCACTGTGGCGAGCCTTCTCCTGCAACATGGAGCCCAGCTGAACGCCCAGACCAACGGAGGACTGACACCTCTACACCTCGCTGCCTCGCACGCCAGCTCTGTAAAAACAGACTCTGCTCATACGTTAGAGCTCCTCCTCTCACAGCGACACCTGAAGCCTAATCTCCGCAGCAGCAGCGGGGAGACGGCCAGCGAGGTGGCCCGTCGGAGTGGACCGCATCACTTTCTATTTGAGATGGTAGAGGACTGTGTGAACGTATTACCCAGTTCATGAACACAGGTGCTCACAATCATCTTCTACACATTAAAGATAGAGTCAGTAGAAATGTTCACAGCAGCTTGTAAACACAACGTTCAAACTGGACCCCTCCTCCTGGGCTCATCCCCTTGTGAAGCGTGCGCCCACTGCAGGACTGAGTGTGTATGTTTACTGCCTGTTGCTGCACTGCAAGCTGCCTGAGAAAAGGTGATTAACATTTGCTGTAATGGAAAAGCCTGTATGTTTGCATGCTATCACATGCTAACCACCTGTGGTTTGCACCTGCCTGTCAAAAAGAGAGCAGCTTACTCTGCATCCGCATGTGAAACCCAAACCGAAGGTTCACGCTCATTACGGAACAAGCTTTATACGCTTTCCATTTTGCCTCACTGTGGTTATATTTTCTCTTCTTTGCCGTTATGTCCGTATCCGTTATATTTACTGGTTTGAATCTGAGCGATCACTGAATTATATCAACTCCAAAACCTCATCTGTGGGCTGTCATTGGCTGGAGGATACTCACTAGCTCCCTTACCCAGAAACCATTAAGTCAACTTAAACAAACCAAAACATCCGAATCCAGGCAGAGGACATGGTCTCTGCAGACAGTCACCACCACACATTTATGGGGGCCCTTACGTGATGATTGAGCAGCATTTCTTTTGTACAAGTCTCTATTTAATGTTCTAGGAAAAAGCTACTGACTCTATCTTTAATGCTTCTACTCTCTTGTCATGCAACGTTTAATGGACAGCAGGTTCATGAGCGTTTATTTCAAAGATGATTACCATGGAGATGTTATCTGAAGCATCTTATTGATTACTTGCTTTCCTCCCTCATGCTATAGAGCTCCCCAATGCCTTTTGTATTTGTTATCCTTGTAAAGTATTCTTCAGCATATTCCCATAAAGGAATAACCACAAGTTGTTTTGCACCAACCTTTTCACAGATGACAATAAACAGCCCTATGTCCCTGAAGGTTGTCAGCCTCTTCTGTAGTTGTTGTTGTTGTTGTTATACAAGGGAACTTCAATAAAAACATAAATGCTCAGCATTGTCAGATGAATGGTACAAAGTTTTTTAAGGATTCATAAATAGCACCAAATTGCTTAACGCATACCGACTTGTGTTTTTACAACAGAATGTCTTTAAAGTTAAAACCAGGTCTGCTTACCCAATGAAGTGCTGTGTTTAGCTCTGACTGCTCTGGAAACAAACGTTTGAGTGTTGTGCTGTTTTGTGTATGTGTGTGTATCTAGGTAAAACTTGAAACACTTGACACAGTGGATGTTTTATTGTCCATGCCTTGAATTTACAAGAGGAGGATTAGCCATATATAAAAGAACTGTTTGACAGATACAATGCCACGTTCCTGTCATAATCAGCCAAGCCACTAAATATGCAAATGTATGTATAACCCTTGACCCTAATAAAATCAAAAAGGATGAGTTATTAAAAAAACCTCACCCCCTGTTCACTTTTTAACCATAAAGAAATGAGCCATAGAGATCAAAACCAGCCTTGTACCAGGCTGTAAACATGTTTCTTCCTGCAGTGTTTTGCAGGTAGGTAGTCCTTGAAAGCAGACCTTGTTTCAGATATTTTTGTGTGGGGGAGAGATTAAAAAAAAATACTCATCAAACCTGTGACTAATTTTATTTTCTTGACATGATGGAAAGGAGCATTTCTAATTATGATGTTGCAGTCAATTTAAAAAACGTATCTTCAGTCTGACCTTATTACAGGTGTATTGTGGAGGTTATTTATACCTGCATGTACTCATCTATTCAACTGTAGCTTTTTATGTAAGTATAGACACAGTATCAGGATCCTGCTGGTAGCTACGCTGCAGGAGGAAGGGGAGAGGTCAACACACACTTCATCTTAACGTCACAACAGCATGTCAGCTACTGCATCAACCCCCTTATTATCGCTCCTAACTAAACAGTACCATTAAGATGTAATACCACCTAAATGACCTGTGATAAAGATACTTCAAAGAAATATGAGAAAATTGTGTTCAACAGAGACAACGATCTGCATTCCTGAACTCACAACATTAAAGTGACAGAAGGTCAATTAAAGCGAAAGCCTAGTTTAACTTTGTAGTGGTCGAGCTCATTTATTTTCTCCTGATGAAAGATGACACATCTGTTCTTAAAGCAGGCCATGAGGACATTTTCCGTATGTTAATTCAAATGTATTTCCTTAATGACATTACGTTCCACCGATCCTACCAAAAAGAAAAGAAACAATTTTAAACAGAAAAGCAAATTCCAAAAAAACAGATTTGTTGATTGAGTTCAATGGTCGCTTGCTTCTTTTCCCCGTATGATTTCAAAGTAATTCATTCATTCATCATTTTTTATGATTTAAAGATGTATTGATGATGAGTTCTTACGTTTTTAAAAACATTTACTTTTAAGGGTATGACTCAAGCTAACAAGTATTTTAAAGTTATAAATCATACACATAGTTTTTAAATATATTTTTTAGGCCATTTTTGCCTTTATTTGATAGGACAGCTGATGAGTGACAGAAAATGCTGGGAGGAGAGAGAGTGGGGGATTACATGCAGCAAAGGGCTGAGGCCAGATTTGAACCCACTGCCTCTGCGATGTGGACTACAGCCGCTGTACATGTGGCGTGTAATATAACCACTAGGCTACAGGCACCCCATATTTGACCCTTTTTAAACTATTAATCTGCATACTTTTCATTAATTAACAACTGTTTGATAAGAACAAATCTTCAGCTTTATTGTTTTTATATATGGAGTGAAAAATGCATCAGTCTTTTAATAAGAAGCCGACACAGGCAGGTTACTGTGATATTTAACCTTCCTGTCCATTGACTGAGTCACTTAGAAAACCAGAAACAATAAAACAATAATTTGAATGTCAGCAGTACTGACAGTGTGGCAGTACTGATTGGTGTTTGGAATCATCACTTTGAAATGGATTTTTAGAGACTTATGTCGTGCTCAGTCTCAGGTAGAGGTTTCTGTAATGCGGGTCACCAAAGGACTACAGAAAAATGCTGTTTGTGTTTTTATGCAGATCACAGGATGTATATGAACATCCGTCAACACCCAAACCACTAATGCTTCTGTCACTCTTTTTGTCAGGGTAACATTTAGGTTTCACAACATCATCTGATTCCTTCTCACGGACTGTCTGCTGACAAGTCGGTCTCTGTTGGAGAGCCCTGACTCCTCAGCGAAGGCCAAGGCATGCTGCGTTGTTTGCCTTCAGGGTGAGGACAATAGAGAAGGCTGCTTCTCCACATACAATGTCAGTGGCTCTGTTTCACTCTACTTGCTTGGATTGCGGAGCATGGATGTAGCCAAAATAATTATATAAATATAATTTTTAAAGCTATAGTTCAGGCTAATTTTTGCCTTTATTAAATGAGACAGCTGAAGAGAGACAGGAAGTGTTGGGAGAAGAGTGTGGGTCACCAGATAAATGTCAGCAGTGTTGTCAAGAATGTGATTGGCATATGTAAGGTAGGTTCTGACAAGGCTGTGTGTCTGAAGGATATTTAATCTATCATACCATACATCACATCACAATGAATTTATTGACATATACGGAAGTACCGCTCTTCATTCAGCCCTGGACTGCTCATTGCCCTCAGACTTTATGTCTACAATATCTTTCATTAGTTTCATTAGTTTATCTCTCTCTCCCTCTTCGATCAGTTCAGGTAACATCCGTTGGGCTCTTTGTAATGCTCGGCCATGAGGTTGTTTGCATCACCGTTATCAATGGCAGATCTGCTCCGAAACGCTCTGATTTAGCTGACAGATGGAGTGAATAATTAGGTGACTATATGAATTAATGAAATGCTTTATTGTATTTGCTGTAGTGTTCCTGCACAGTATCTTGCAGGAAATTTAATCGTTTCAAAACTGGAGTAGAGGGCATGTACTGTATATCAGATTGATTTTAAAATACTGTTTACATGAATTATCCCTTACATTCAAAGGGTTAACCTTCACTATAGACATGTTTGTTAACCCATTATCTACAATCAGATAGCATTTATATTTTTGTGACACTTATATATGTATTTATTTAACTCCTTATGAGTTTAAAAATAATAAATACATCCATCCATTATATATACGGCTTTTCTTGTTCAAGGGCTTGGGGTGCTGGAGTGAATCCCAGCTGTCATTGGGCGGGAGGCGGGGTACAACCTGGCCGCCAGTCAATCACAGAGCTGACATAAAGAGACAGCCAATATCACATTCACACCTACAGGCAATCACCAACAATGAACGTAACAAACATGTCTTTAGACGGTATGAAGAAGCCAGAGTACCCGGAGAAAACTCACGCATGCACGGGGAGAACATGCAAACTCTACAAAGAGAGACATGATATTTAGTGTTCTATGAATATCATTTAAGTCAGTTAAAGATTATTAAGGGTTACACGTTTATTCTAGGTTCAAATGGTGGCTTTGGTTTTCAGTTATTCTTAAGTCAATAAGTAAACTAACGTGCTGGTGGATGACGAGGTCATACAGTCACACAAATTAAATTTTGATTAAAACAGCATTTTCCAAACTCATTTTAGTTTAGTTTAGTTTATTTGCACATTTTTTGAAAGAAGAATCAAACAGAAAATAAAAAATAAATAAAAAATAAAACACATGTGCAGGTGAGGTAGAAACCCATGAGGGCTTATCTCAAAACCTCACCTTAAGAGATTAAACAAAGTTAAAATAAAATACAGTAAAAAATATCAAAGTAAGAATATTTACTATCACAAATACAATTTACCCAATTGAAAATTACATACAAACATTAAAAACATAAAAATAGAGCAAAGCAGGACATACAGTATGTAGACAATATAACAAAATCAGGACAATTCACTATTTACTACAAATCTTTCTGACATCAACGCATTTCTGAGTCTCAATTTGTATCTAGAAAAAGACAAAAAAATCATCAAGTAAATAAATATACGTGTTCCATAATTTGACTCCACGGTATCTTATTGAGTACTGTCCTCGAGATGTACGACACATTGGTAGGTAGAGGTTATTGGTTTGTCTAGTTGAGTAATAGTTCACTTGAGAATTAAAAATGAAAAATGCTTTAAAGCTTTCTGGCAAGTTTGCACTCATGTATTTAACTTTAAAAATAAAGCTACTTATTTGAAGAATATTGATATCAAAGATTGTCAATATGTTACACTTCAGAAAAAGAGGGGAGGTTGCATCACAGGACTTGGAAAAAGTTGCCATTCTGACAAAACGTTTCTGGAGTAATAGAATTTTATGAAGATATGTTTGGAAAGTGCTGGCCCATACAATATTACAATAAATAAGATATGGATATATTAGGCTGTAATATAATGTTGAGATACAAGAAGAGTGTAAAAAAACACAATTTTTTCTAATAATTCCTAGAGATTTTGTAACCTTACTACAGACAGAGATGATGTGATCTTTCCATGCAAGTTTCTCATCAATTAAGATCCCTAAGAATCTTGTTGATGTTACTTTAGTCATTTCTTCATCATTTATATACAGTCTCACCATTTCATTATATTTCATTTTTCCAGCAAATATCATTATTTGTTTTAAACCATTTTGAATATGCAAGAAGGCCATCATTTACTTCATTCATGAGTTCTGACAAGTTTTTATTGGAGACAAGTAAATTAGTGTCATCTGCAAATAATAATGGGCATATTGTGTTTGATACTGTTGCAAGATCGTTAATGTATATGAGAAACAGTAACGGTCCTAAAATGGACCCTTGTGGGACCCCACACTGCATCATAGTTCTCTCAGACTCTACACCATTTATGTTGACATACTGCTGTCTGTTATATACATAATTACTGAGCCACTTCAGGACATTTCCATTAAATCCATATCTATATAGTTTAGCTAATAAAATTTCATGATTTACAGCATCGAATGCTTTAGAGAGATCCAAAAAAATACCACATGAAAACGCTTTCTTTTCTAATGCAGAATGAATCTTGTCCACTAGTTGTAAGAGGGCCATATAGGCAGAGTGATTTT